GTTTTTACTCACGAAAGCTTATGCCCAAATAAATCTGTTAGTCTTTAAGGTGCCACCAGACTCCTTGTTGTTTTTGTAGATACAGACTAACACGGCTACCCCCTGACTCTTGTAGATGTGTGCAAAATGACCCATTTCTGAGGCATGAATGTGGTGGGTTTTCCTCCTGGCAGTCACTGCCTATTTTTCAATTGAGAGGGGGAAACCATTTCCTTTTTCCAGGAAGCCACATTCATGGAAATTATGTTCCTGCTGGTGGGAATTTTTCACATGCTCTTTCCTGCACTCTTCCTTTGCAAGAAGTTTATGCACTTTTCTATAATAGTACCGAGACCAACAGTTTAACAGTTGGAGATCATTTTGTCATGAAAAGGTAGAGTTTAAAAACCTATCCTCTTTTCTCATGAAAATAGAAAAATTATCCAGTCTGGGGGGATAAATTATTAACTCTTATGTCAGTAATGTCTCTGTAGGATCAGTATACACGTCCATTAGCCATTGGTCTCAGAGGACATATTGGAAGGAAACAACCATGAAATTATTTGTTTCTTTAGTCCATTGGTTTAGGCCCAAATTTTCATCAGTGATGATTGATTCTGGGTTATTCGAACGTCGGGGGCCCAATGTGAGACCTTTAGGGCCTGATTTCCCTAGGTACTGAGCACTCACAGCGTCCACTGAGTTCAACTGGAGTTCTGGATGCTCAGCTCTCATTAAAATTACGCCCAACATGTCTCAAATTGGGCACCCAGAAACTCAGGGACTGCAGATGAGTGTCCAGTTTTGTGAAGGTTGGCTATAGTTAATTAGTCTCTGGCTAATGGGAGAAAGAGTTCAAAAGAAAATCCAGTGTAATGAATTCAGACTATTTTCCTATTCGTATTTTGTTTCTGTCACTCACTATGCTCCTTTTAAAGAGCAGATCATCCAATCCAAACAAGGGACCAAAAACAATAGAATATGATCAATTTCATGTCATGAATAGCAGATGCTTGAAGTGAACAATTTGTGAAAACTTCACAAACAAGCCACAGTCTCAGAGTTATTCAGCTGAAATATTCAGCACATACTGAATACGTTCACAGCAAATGGGACTAGGTCTTTAATGAAAAACGAGGCCAATATTTTGTAGAGTTTAAAAAGTTGATGAATACTATTCCACCAGCTTTATTCACAAATCAAATCACACCCATTTCCCTTTTTCTATCATAATTGGCTTTTGTTTGCTCTTGTAACTAGAGATGGGACAAAATCAACCCTGCCCCTCTGATCCAAACACCACCACATTTTGGAGGTTGAGAGGCTTCAAAATCTTGGGCTGGATCTGAATTTTGTAAATGGCCCCTATCTTTACAATGGGTCATCGAAAGCTACCTATTTATCCCTTTATACCACACCCATCACCACAGCCTGTGAGAATTAAATCCTTGCATCTGAGCACCCCCAGCCTTTGGGGTATTCAAAAATCCAGATCTTCAGTGTTTCTATAGAGCTCTCCATCACTTACACATCTAAATGTATCATTGGTTCTGCAAAGTCTTAATAATGACTATAGTCTAGCTGCAGCTTGGCAGGACTAGTGAGGCTAATTCAAACATTCTGCTGCTATTATAGCTTGTGGGTACATGTAATGGGGGAGGAGGTCTGTGTCAGCGAATGGCTTCTAAATTGGAAATGTCCTTATGTTGCTTTCATATGTATTGCGTTCAAGAGCACCGAATGACCTTTCCAAGCTCCTGAAAGAATGTTTAATCTGTTGTTTAACATGCCATGTGTTATTAATTAACTAGCTAGATCACTGATGAATGCAGTTTATGACAAAATCCCTTCATGTTTAGGGAGAAGCCCAAACCAAAACTCCTGAAATCTAGA